GGTGCTATCGGGGGGCCTTTGTTGGGATGGGATCAGCCTGCCTGGAGTTGATTCAGTTTGGGTGTGGAAGGCATGATGGAGGAAGGTTGGGTGCTCAGGAGGGCTGGGGAGCAGGATGGCAGTGGCCCGTTTGGCCTGAGGAGGGAAGGAGCAATGGAGGAGCCTGGCGAGGATGGAGGACAGTGTTCAGGGATTGACTGTGGAGAGTCTGGGAGCATCTGTGACTGTGAAGGGACACTGGACAATCCAGCCAAGGTGGAACGGGGCCACCCTGGGGCTTGGATCCTGGCTGCAGGAGTTGAGGGAGCTATAGGAGAGCTTGCTGAGGTGGAAGGGCATGTTATTGATAGATAGCCTTAGAAGGGGCGTTCAGTCATGGCAGAGAAAGCCTGGATTGAAGGGGCTGGGTGTTTGGGGATGGACAGGGCTGAGGCACAGTGCTCAGTGGCTGAAAGAAACCTGCCAGTTGGGTGGGATGAACAGTCTGGTGAGTAACTGGGAAAACCCAGTCAACGTTGGCTGGCTAGGATAGTTTTCTGGGATGTTGTGTGCTCTGGGAGTTTCTGCCAGGGGCTGGAGAGATGAGGGACAGTCTGGGCTGAAGAGAAGAGATAAGAATACACTGTGGGAGGGGCTGGAAGTGGAATTTTGATACCGATGAGAGAAAGAGAGGACTCAGGGAGGAAAGAAGTGTTCAAGGGGAGGGATGAATTGTTTGAGAGGGAGCAATGTGAACTGAAGGGAGGAATTGGGGTCTTGGATGCAGCGGAGGATCTGATTAGGGTGGAGGGCAATGCTGGGAGACGGGCAGGGTGATAAGGGTGTAGCACAGTCTGAATCGAGGTTGGGGTTGAATGATGGACTGGGGTGTTGGAAACAACTTGGGTTTAGATGCTGGAGCAGTTGGGGTGGGACAACTGAGATGCTGGCAGAGTCCGGCAAGGACTGGAAGGAAGGATTAGGGCTGCCTGGTGAGGGGTGGTAAGAGAGCGCTGCGGTAGGTGGGGGAGCTGCTGCTGAGGATGCAGCATGTGCAGAGAGCACAGGCAGAAGGAAATGGCAATGAGGAAAGAGCTTTCCCAAGGGTGAAGCAGTGTTTTGTCCAGGAGCCCTCTGGACACAAGCTAGATTCATGCAAGTAGACAGCATGGGAGGAGGTGTAAGCAAGAGCAGCAAAGGCAGCTATTCTCTTCACTGGGTTAATTCTGGCTGCGTCCCCACCTGCTGGGCCACAGAGAAAGAGATTGAGATAAGGTCTGTGGGATCTGCTCTATTTTAGATCAGTTGATGATGGAACATGTCACACCAGACACCGAAGCCGTCACAGGATGGACATCTGCTGTAAAGATGAGGGCAGCTGCCTCCAGCAGTGCAGTGCTTTGTGGGACACATTTGGCCTGCAGCTGCTGCTAGCCAAATCTGCTCTTCTGCCTTGTGATGTCCAGATAAGCTGTGGTAGTCTGGGATCTGGCTGCTGTTATCCGAGCGCTTTGTGTGTGGAGAGGGCGGACTGGGTGTTTTCCAGTGTTCGTGTTATTTGATACAACATTTTACTGCCTCTTTGTCTATTTTCCATTTCTGGGAGTTGTTTTTTGAATTGCAGCCTCTCAGGCAGGGTGGGTGGCGTTTCGGGGTGCCTGGTGGACTGGCTGGGCTGGGCAGAGGACTGCAGAGCTCTGTCCTGTCTCTCTAGGTTCTCAACTTTCACTAAAACAGAATAATCCTTAGTGGTAGAAACTCTCTGAAATACCAGCAAATATATCCAAAGCAGCTATGGCAGCCTGGGGCTGTGGGTCAGCAGTCAGAAATGATCCAGACAGCTTGATGTAACAATTTACTGCTTGTCATCTGAGCTGTGGTAGCTGCCCCTGAGCATGTTTCTGGCATGTCATGATTGCATTGGGAAGTGCTTAAACCCCCTTCAACGACTGCTTGCTCCAACTCCAGCAGTAAGAGGGTTAATGCTGAGGTTTAAATTATTTCGGTGTTCATCCAAGTGAGTAAGTACAGAGGGGAAGTGTCTCCTTCTGCAGAGCATACCAGCATTTCTCACAGCTGTGGGGCAGGGGTGGTGGAAGGTCATAGGTGGAGCACGGAGGGAAAGATGAGCCATAAAACTGCATAGCATGAGGGATGTGTAGCGCTGAAGGCTTTGGCGCTGTTAAGCAGCATCTGTGGTGGGCACACAGCAAGGGTGAAGGGAGGCTGCTACATGAAAGGATATGCAGCTTTCCAAAGTTTAGGAAATGCTGTGTGAAGCAGAGCTTGTGGCTTCCTTGTCACTGTAATAACAATCTTTACTGAGTGAGATGGTATGTTATTCATACATGCTGGGGCCAGAGGATGGCTGGTGTTTTTTTAAAACCATTGGTTGAAGATGACATCATCGTGTCAAAACCAGGGTTGTCAAAGCGTGGCCCCATTTTACAGTTGAGGAAACTGAGCCACGAAGTGTCTAGCTGACACTAGGCAGATCTGGTAGAGAGGATGAAATACCAGCATAGCTAAATGTGTAGTCAGGCATCTTTCTCCTGGTCTTGAGCTTGTGTTTCTAGCAAAAACAGCATCTATCTGTTGCCTGCTGTAGGTGTACCTAGTACCCAGAATTTCTTTCATCCCTCGTTGCTTGGCAGTAAGGCTCTATTTAAAATGGCCCCATCAAAAAAAAAAAAATGCTTTCAAGAGCTTTAATAGTGCCTCGCTGCTTTAGTTTCCCACTACAGTTCCATGTCATGTTTTTGGTTTATTTTACTGATTGCTGAGACGTTGATATGAGAAACTACCTGCAGATAGGACAGTATACCAGCAAGTGGCCAGGACTTTCAAGTCCTGAAACCAGACAAAGACTGCTGACATTATCTGGTACTGGGCATCATCTCTGCGCAGGGCATAACGCTTCCTTCAAACTTGCTAAAACCAGAGGAGTTTGGTTTTAATTACAAAAGGAGGATTCATGCTGGTATTGGTTAGTATACCAAACCAGAAAGTGCTGTGCAGCCCCTTTGGCAGAAAACTGTGTTAGTAGGTTGGAGCTGGAAAAACTCTGTAGGTGACTCAACTCCGTTAAATTTTGGATTTCAATGCAGGAAAGAAAGCCTGCATTGAATGACACCATATGGTGGAGACGTGCAGCAAGCAAATGATTTTTTGGGGGAGTTTTGCCAGAGTAAGAAGTATTGAATAAATTGTGCTCAATAGATTAATTTACTTTGGTTGTATTTTGCAAAAGGCTGGGTGATTTTATGACCATTAGTGACATTTGCAGTTCTGCAGCCGAAGATAAAGGTAATCAAACGTCATTCTTCAGGGCACCAGCTAATCAGTGCAGTTGTCAGGAAGGACTCCCCTCCTCCAGCTCTGTGTGCGCAGGATTGCACCCTGGATGACAAATGTAGCCTCAAATATCCACTGCTGAAGGCAGGATATTTGGCTCAACTAAGACCCCCGTTTTCCCCCATGTCAGCTTCTCCTGCGTGACTTTCTGAAACCATCACGTGCACCCTCTATCTTTAACTTACTCTTTAAAAACAGTGAACTGCTATCATATTGATTAATTAAAAGTAAATT